CACACACACACACACACACACACACACACACACACACAAAACAACAACACTACCACATTAACAGCAACGGTAAAGGCATTGCTTACAAAGGTTACAACAGCGATGGTAACCAGAGCCCATACTCATACTGCTCCTCCTAGTCCTGTTACGATTCCCATTATTCCCCATCTTTCCCCTCTTCCTCCTCTTCCTCCTCCCTCTCCTCTTCTACCTCCTCCTTTCTCTCCTCTTCTTCCTCCACCTCATCTTCCTCCTCCTTCTCCTCCCCCTCTTCCTCTTCCTGCTGCTGCTTCTACAGTTAAGATATAACGCTGAATGATTTAATAACACTGAAACACTGACACCACCTGCAGCGAAAACATCAACAAAAAAGATTTTCACATGCCACTAGAAAGTCAAGTTGTCAAGTTCAAAAAGTAACCCCTTGCATATTGAACTAAAACAGGGAAATCACCTTCTTATCTCCAGAAGATAATATTTAGCTAACGATTGGTTGTCCCAGCTTTGTTCTATATTAAGCACAATGTATACAGGAGGAAGTAACAAGGGGCAAGGCGGGGCCTACTGTTATTTCATCTGTACCTACACCGGCTTATTATGTCGTACTTAAGAGACATGGTTTTACTTCCTTGTTGTATGTGTGTTGAAAGTAGCTTCAAGTATACGTTTTACGGGCTAGATTTTCGAGAGGGATATTATCCTGCTCAGTAGTACGAGTGAGGATGTGGAAGGTGGCCGCTTGCGATAAGTTTTCTGTGTTCTGTGATATAGAATGGCAACAATGCAATACGAGGCCTACAATTTTAACAGATATTTGATGGATTTGCGTGTTAATTTTTAAAAAGAATTCTGAGAGGATAGCCGGAGTGTAACTTTGGTAGGTCTTTCCTTTTTCTTATCATTCTCTATTCTATATATATGTTTACGTAAAACTTTATGAGATAAGCAAGGTGTTTAACTCAGGTTGAAATTTTATACAAAATGTATGTTTCGCAATCATGAACAATCAGTTTATAGTCTCTCATTAACTTGAGAGACTCCATAGGCAAGCTACAACTTTGTAAAAAACAGAAGTACTTTGTTTTAGCCGTTTTACTTCCCAATAAACTTTTGACCATGTAGTAAGAAGGACTGCTTTTACCCTGCTTGCCAGGATCACCCATCAGAGTGAGTGGAGTACCCACCTTTGTATAGTTACCATAACGTGTCGGTACTCGATTATAGTAGCTGTCCTGTCTATTTATCGTTTATTTCACATGGGGTTCCCCTTTCCCAACCATGATAGCGCCGGGTAAGGCTCAATGATTACAATAGTCGATATAAATTCGAATCTACTATTTTGGAGGACTTAATGCGTCAGCCAGCTGCTGTTCAGATGAAGCAAACCAACATCATGAATTGTCTTATTGCAGATTTTTAAAAATCCGTGTTATCAGTTTCGTGTGCTCAAGACAGATTTTGTCAAAATTTTATAACCTAGAAGTTGGAAAAAAGCAAGGAATGATACATAGAATGTATTGCAGGTACAATCATTTTAACAAAAGAGAAACAGTTTTTTTCCTCTCTCCTGCAAAATGTTGCTCACTTATAACAGTTGAATAGCTTGTGGAGAAATTATTTTTCTAGTCGTTCTTGGAAAACTCTATTTACTTCCTGGGTCCCGACAGAGGACTCAGTTCTTCGATTTCAACAAGGTCTCCTCTGTTCCTCGTCAAGCGTTCCCTACAAATCAGCAACAGTCGTGAAATGCCTTCGAACCTGGACCACTAGCCCCGGGCACGCAACCTCCTGAAAATTGATTCCAAATCTTGTTGAGTTGATCTTTGCTCTTTCGGTTGGTCCCACTTCATGGGGCTGGTGGTTGGCGGATGTTCTGGTATGGGCTGCTACATCCTGTTTTCTGTCAGGATTCTTTTGTCCTGAGCTAGCTCCCGGTGGTTTGTGGTTGTTATCGTGCCAACCCAGCGTGAACGTCAATACTCCATGAGATTGCAATTTCCAACTTTCAGATGCCTCGTTTTCAGAACTTGAAATCGTTAAGATAAGAAAAGAGAAGAGAAGAGAAGTACTTTATTGTCCCTGTGGGGGAATTTTGGTGGTTTACAGGAATTAAAAAAACATATTTTGTAGACATGCATGGCATAAAATTTAGATTCTATACTTGTACTACTTTAGTTTAGTTTTAGTAGAGGTTTTAAGGCGTTCGCAACTGCATAAGGTCATATGAGCGCCAGAAGATTAGAGCTGTTACAAGAGATTAACAAACATAAAAAAGAAGAAGGGGAGATAACGACGATAGATGTTTGATAGGAAAGAAGAAGCAAACCACTCCAGAGCACCCGCCAACCACCCACTTGTACTACTTTAAGAAATAATTTAGTTGAAGAGAAAGTAAAAGCTGACAACCAGGGGCGGCTCGTGGGTCTAAAAAGTGGGCGTGCACAATTAAGCTATCTTAGGCTGAAGATAATCAAGGGCAGAGTAAATGGGATGGTGTATAATTTTAGGATCTTTGGGTTGGTGAAGGAAGACCTTGTGCTTTTATTTTCATTCTTTTTACTTGTGGTTTTGACTTCTAGAACTAAATATGTTTGTTAGCTAAACGTCAATGTTATTCATCCTTCATTAGAACTGAACACTCAAGTAATACCTTTCACCACTCCACTACAAAACCGTTCAATAGCACAACTCATAGGACGGCGACTTAAGTGTGTCACGTTCACCTCCCTCAGGTTCACGGTCACAGAGTCACTTAAAATAGACAATGAACCAATCGCAATTCACTTGAGCACTCCGCTGGATTGCTCTGGGGCCCACATAATTTTGGCATGGAATAGTGAACAGTCTATGACGTTTATTTTTAGATTGCCTACTGTGGGCTATGTTTCAGCGCTATTCGGCAGGAGCACATTTGAGATGTGCCGTCTTATTAATATTAATGTACCGCCAAACTCTCTACAAGCGTCGTCATCGCTTGGGTTATCCCAAAGAGCGATTTATAGGTCAGGTTTCCACTGTTGACTATCCTGTTATGTTTAGATACAGCGCAAGAACTTAGGCATGGCATAGTAGATGTTTTACGGTGCTATAAAATAGAAACGACAGTTACGGCGCCAATGAGGGCCTTGTTTTGATATAATATTTGGCTAGTGTTTGTTTCTGGCGTCTTTTATTTTATTATCATTTACGTCATAGAACATTAAAACATTTTGGGCGGCACTGCACGACCGTGCTCTATGGGCGAACCGCGCTTGCTGACAATAATACAAAATGACACTTCAGATGTATCTCTGAAACTACATGAAAAATTTTCCACGGATTTAAGGGAGTAAGTTGTATACAATGTATAAGATATATTTCATAAATATGTACATAGATTGAAAAAGAAACTCCAGCAATGCACACGTCAATATAATCCTGATTACTTTACAGAATCTAGAGGGGCAAAAATGAAACTCAAAATGGCAGAAAATAAACAACTTTTTTTAATGGCTAGTGGCCACGATCAGAACGGATAATAAAGAAAACCTCCCGGCCCACCCCTCTACGGTCTCACAAATAGCTTCCTCTCTCTCTCTCTCTCTCTCTCTCTCTCTCTCTCTCTCTCCCTCTCTCTCTCCTGCCCTTCTACATCTCTCTCGCTCTTCGTCCCTTTTTTGTTTTGTTTTCTTGTTTTCCCCAATATCTCGTCATCATCTGTGGATATTTTCTCAAAGTACTGCAGCCGAAACCCTGTCAGAGAAAAATAATTACTGTTTAGTTTTTAATGCTCCATCAGATCCCCCCTCTCTCTCTCTCTCTCTCTCTCGCTCTCTTTCTCTCTCTCTCTTTCTCTCTCTCTCTGTCCTCTCTCTCTCTCCCCTTATTTTTCTCACTCTCTCCGCCCCCTCTCTCTGTGTGTCTCTGGCTCTCTCTCTCTATGTCTGTCTGTATGTCTGCCTGTCTGTCTGTCTTCTCCCCCCCCCCCCCACACTTTCTCTCTCTCTCTCTCTCTGACACACACACACACACACACACACACACACACACACACACACACACACACACACACACACACACACACACACAAGCACATAACCTTCTTTACACCCGCCCCTTCTGTCTCTCCCTCTGTGTCTCTGTCTATCTGTCCATCTGTCTGTATGTCTCTCTGCCTGTCTCTCCCTCGCCCCCCCTCTCTCTCTCTCTCTTCCTTCTCTTGAAGTTAATGTGGAGCATCCCTTCAGACCAGGTTTGGACGCAACGAGAATCCCACAAAGATTTTTTTGGTGTCCGCTTTTAGGGAACTCAGACTCGACTTTATCATTGCAAAATCCGCCTGACACAATTCCAATCTATTTTTTTATATTAAAAGGTCTCTCTCTCTCTCTCTCTCTCTCTCTCTCTCTCTCTCTCTCTCTCTCTCCCTCTCTCTCTCTTTCTCTCTCTCTCTCTCTATCTCTCTCACTCTCTCTTTCTCCCTTCTCCCACTCTCTCCCCCTCTCTCTCTACTTTCTTTCCCTCTCTCTCTCTACTATCTCTGTCTGTCTGCCTGCCTGTCTGTCTGTCTGTCTGTCTGTCTGTCTGTCTGTCTGTCTGTCTGTCTGTCTGTCTGTCTGTCTGTCTGTCTGTCTGTCTGTCTGTCTGTCTGTCTGTCTGTCTCTCGCTCTCTCTCTCCTCTCCTTTTTTCTCCCCTTCCTACCCTTTGTCTCCCAATAGTACTTTTGTACCCCCCCCCCCCCAACGCCCAACATTATTTCATCAAATAATACGTTAATTCGCTACCTAAACGCTCCCCGCCTTGCCCTAGCGTCCTTTCTGCTTGCTCACCAACAACTTGGGGTTTTGCAAAATCCTCACTGACAACCCTGATTTATCCTCATTGGTTTAATTTAAAGTTGCTAAAAATCTGGTAAATTGAACTGCCTTTTTAGAACTCTTGTGTTTTTATTTTCCTATACTAACATTTTCTGCAAAGTTGACTTTCCTCCCATACTTCACTTAGTTTTTGTTTTCATTCTCATATTTGGGTATTTATTTCTCTCTCTCTCTCTTTTACAAATAATTTTTGTTTGAGTCTCAGCTAAATAGTCACAACGTGTCTAAACACGATTACCTAAATACTTGGAAAAGTATAGTTGTATTTTTGTCTTTACTTATTACCCCCGGCGTATGTTACTAATAGCATTAGGTATCAAGGTATCGGTATCGATACCTTGAAAAAATACTAGGTATCGACATCGATACATAAATTGGGGTATCGGCCCATCACTAGCGTGCGTAATCAAACCAAAGATAATGAATAACAAGATGGGCCACTCAGCCAAAAAAGTGTCCGCAGGAAGTATGCTCTTTGCTTCAGATGGCGCTGCAGTCTGTTTTGAAGCTCTCTTTCGTTTTTCCAGAAGAAGAATAGGAATAGCACCTCCTTGCGTGCGCAGATCGACTGCTGTTCATCAGCAGTTCGGGTACGTTCAGTGCGGAGTTTTAGTTTTTTTTATATTTTAATGACCTCTCGCCTTTCATTCTAAAGTCAAATTAAACGAAGAAAACCATCACCCCTTCCTCCGGAAGAGGTATTTTGTCAGCGTAACCATTTTAAAAAAGCGTTCTTCCAAAATTTATCCCAAAACTTGCTAGTTTCACTTTGATTTTTAAAAAACTCAAGTAGGGTAACTCTGTTCGCAAAGAGTGCGCTTTTGTGAAGAGGGCGCCACCAAATTTTGAGGACACTTTTTTAATTGGCTCAAAGAGAGAAGTGGCCCATCTTGTTATGTACTATCATTGATCAAACGAAAGAAGTCAGTTACTTCGAATATAATACCGACGATATTGTAATATTCATCGATTATTCGAAAATCATTTGTCTTCATATTCGATTATTAACATTATAATTGA